AGAGTTTCTTAGTAAAGTGAGTAAAGTAAATACCTTTATGTAACACAATCCTTTTGTAGCTTTTCACTTCACCACAACGAAAATTCAAACTTATTTAAATTTGAAAGTGACCCTTTCATGTGGCATTATACAGACACTCTTTTGGGTGAGGGCCAAAACTGATCCAGTGATTCTTCACATGATGCAGCTGATGGGCTCAGCTGACTTTTGCTATGATGAAGGATTAATTAAGACCCATGAAAAGACCCAAACAAGCAGTAATCTCTTAACACTTTCTCTGGCTCTCAGCCCAAAACCTATTGGTTCCTAATGGAGAGCTCAAGTGGATCACAAATGTGTGGTTTTAGTTTTTCAAAGTCCAGTGTATAAGATTTAGGCGAAAKGGAACTATTGCAGATAATTTAATGTAAAATAATGTTTTCACTAGTTCATTTCATCTAAATTGTATGAATTGTAGTTTTCTTTAGTCCAGAAAAGGCCCTTTATATTTAAATACTTTATATTTACATGGAGGGGACCCTCTCTACAGAGGCCGCCATGTTTTTTACATTAGTCCAGACTGAACAAACTAAACACCTTTTGAGTTTTTATGACAACTGAAGCTACCACAGGTTCTTTTTCATGTTTGGAAGGAGAGGGTGAGGTGAGGGGTGTTCCGCTGCAACATGCAACTTCAACACTAGATTCCACACACTGTACCTTTAAATGCTAGATAATTCCATAAAGATCAACATTCCCACCTCAAGCTCAGAGTCACTGGATTCAGGCTGGCTGGCCACTCCTGTCAGAAAGGGCAACATGGGCTGACCCATCTTTGCCATGCGAGAAATCAGCTTGGCTTTAGTAGCATCTGGATTCTGAAGTTTAAAAAGAAAATGACACAAAAAAGCTGTGAAATAACTGCATACAATTATTTAAAAAAAACACTTAAGTGAGAGGGAAAGAAAAGCAGTGATGGTGCTTACTGCCAGCTGTTCACTGAGAGAGTTTGACTTTGCACGAAGAAGTGGCTCCCTGAAAGAAAAAAAACAAATAACAGGAAAAAGTCAGAGACAAACCAGGCTACGTGTTAAAAGTTAAGGGAAATGCTGTTAGCGATTGCCTAGCTCACCCTGGTCTGCCTGGGCCTGAGACAGTCATCTGTACTGCAGACTCTGGGGTCAGACTCTCCACACTGGGAGCTGGGGAAGGAGCAGGAGACGGAGCAGCAGAGTCTCTGGAGCTGGCACTGGCCCGATCAGAGCCACTGTCCTTGGAAAACTTCACCTAAAGCACAAAACAAGAACAAGATACTTCACTTCACCATGATTTATGTGACATCAGACTCATCTGGGACGTTAGAGAAGGTTAACAACTAGAGCAGACAATGGAAGGAAGTAAAGAAATTGCTCAGTGGATGTTACCCGCCGAAGTTCTGCTTCAAAAATAAGAGTGCTGTTAGCCGGGATGCAGTTGGGGACTCCTTTGGATCCGTAAGCAAGGTCTGGTGGGATGACAATGAGACGACGGCCTGCCTTCTTCATCCCCAGCATCCCTTCCTCCCAGCCCTGCTCACACAGAGGACAGGCAGAGCGATAAAGAGCAAATAACATGATAATATAATATGATGGTGATGAACATGATGAGGCCAGGAGAGTTCATTTAAAAACCCTGGGTTGAACTAATTATNCATGTTCAGATCCTGGTTCAGGTTGACATTTATATCCAGGTTCAGATCTAGATCCATGTTCAGATCCAGGTTCAGATCTAGATCCAGATCCAGGTGTAACTATAGAGATGACAACATTTGTCTTTCGTGCTAACAGGCTAACCTGCTAAATGTTAGCTGTATGAATATGAAAACTGATGAAATCTATTTCAAATGTTGTCACTTCCTGTACTTGCATGATGTGTCCTGTACAATGACCTGGATGTTAAACAGTACGTCCACTAGATGGCAGCTCAGAGTCTGACAACAACAAACAACTGCCGTCTTTGTTCCCCTCTTCCTTCGCTCCTTTCCGCTCGTCATCTCGTCTCCAGCTCTTCAGTCAGGACGTCCTGATGAAGTTTGTCCCTCGCTACAGTTTGGTGGCGGAGCTTCACGACGGTGGGATCTGCACACGCAGCTTCCACGATCCAAACGGCATGGTGGCGGCTTACGTGAGCGAGGTCCACGAGCACGACGGGAGTCTGTACCTGGGCTCCTTCCGCTCCCCGTACATCGCCAAACTTGATCTGCACAAGGTTTAAAAAAAAACAAAAAAACCCAAAACATTTGTGAGTCAAAGAGACAGAGATGATGTCTGACATCAGGACGCAGTGTTCGACCGGACCAATGATGTCACCATGCAGCAGGACGGAGGTCGATGACTTATTGACACAGACGACGAATCAGACTCAACGTTTGTGTTTATTTTAGTTTTGACATCAGATCTGATCGATCAGATCTGTCATCAATAAATGTGTTTCTATAAAAACAGAATATCCTGGTTATTTATTCAGCATAGTTTAAACTGATAATTTAAAGGTCCAGTGTGTAGAATTTAGTGACATCTAGTGGTGAAGTTGCATGATGCAGCTGAACACCCCTCATCTCACCCCCCCTTCCCAACATGAAAGAGAACCTGAGGTGAACTTCAGTTGTCATGAAAACTCAAAAGGACGACAATAAAAAAACATGGCGGCCTCCAGAGTTTCATCTTTATGTCTAAATGATAAAAATCTTTTATTTTTTCTGTTT